TTTAGGGTTTAGGGTTTAGAGTAAGCTCGGTAGATCCTGATTTCTACAACCAGACGCCGTGCACCCCCTACACCAAAGCCGTAAACCCTAAATTGCCCTAAATTGCGGGGAGTACAAGCCCGATAACAAAAGAACTTTGCCAGTATCTAGAATCCAAGGACAAGACACTGACACCCAAGACTCGAAACTTCCAAAGGACCTTGAACGACGAGACTCATGCAGCTCTCAAGCCTCCCAAACCTTTAAACTCTGCAGAGCCCCGACAGAATCCCTATAAATGCCCTTACGCTGCCCTAAACCCCAAACCCAAAACCCCTAAACTTAAAAACACCCTGAGACCCCACTATATTCCACCCCCTACGACCCTAACGTCCTACCTAAACCCTAAACCCTGACATCAAAAACACCCTCAAGCCTAAACCCTAACACCCTATAACATAATTACCAATACTATTTTGGGGGGATCCTTATCATATCTATATGAAGGGCACCCAAACCCTGTTCTAATCACTAAGGCCCCTCTATTACTCACACCCCTAAACCCAAAACCCTAAATCCCCTAAACCCAAAACCCTAAACCCTAAACCCTAAACCCTAAATCCACTGAAGAGGCCTCCAACAGCAGCTGCAAGACTTCCATGTGGGCTCGGTCGGCGGCGTAGAGCACCGCCGAGCCGCCAAGCCTTTATGGAAGCTTTTTGGGGGCTCTAGGGGTTTAGGGTTTAGGGTTTAGAGTTTAGGGTTTAGGGTTTAGGGTTTAGGGTTTAGGGTTTAGGGTCCGAGGCTCAAAAATGTTGGGTTTGCGGGTTTAGGGTTCAAAGGTTTGCAGCTTTTGGAGGAGGTCCTGGGCTTGAGGGCCTCGGGGCTTAGGGGTTCGGGGTTGAGGGTTTCAGAAAGTTTGCCTTGTGTTTAAATGCTCTCTGAAGGCTGAGGGTGCATTGGCTCGGGGATGTGAAGGACAGGGCGGTTGGGTTTTCTTCCTGGTTGTGGGGGGGGGAGGGGAGAGGTAAGGGTCAGAGTGTGCGCAGGATATCGGAATTGGAGGTATAGCTTGGCGGCCTTCTAGGATCCGTGGACCTTTTGCGCGGCTTCAAGGACATGTAAGGCAGTGGGATCATAGAGGGTTTTGGCCCGCAGGGTTCTGAAATTGATCTTAAACCCTATAAACCCTAAACCCTAAACCCATTGATCGCTGATGCACTGCACAAGATTCCTACGTACTGCAATCCTGACCACAAGAACACACTGTAGGCCCTAGCATCATCCGCCCTACAGATGTTATATAAGCCGCTTAAGCACAGACTCTAGACTCATTCTCCCGGGTTCTAGTTGCTGAAATCTTGCCATGCCTGCAACCCTTCATCCCAAACCTTGGACCTTCTGCAAACCCTAAACCTTTAACACCGAAAACCCACACCCCAAGAGCCTTAAAGCGCAAACTCGAACCCAAATACTTGAAAACAAAACCCTAAACTTGAAGCCCTATCGTTTCCATTGTAGTTCCTGCTTTGGTCGAAGCAGTTACCTATGTCTCGGACCCGATAAGGTAGCCAGAAAAGAAACTACAACCCTGAACCCTAAATCCTAAAGCCTAAACCTTCTGCCCGAAAGCCTAAATCCTGAACCCTAAACCCTAAACCCTAAACCTTAAACCCTAAACCCTAAACCCTAAACCCTGAACCTTAAACCCCAAACCTAAAACCCTAAACCCTAAACCCTAAACCCTGAACCCCTAAACCTTAAACCCCAAAACCTAAAACCCTAAACCCTAAACACTAAACCTTAAACCCCTAAACCCTAAACCCTAAACCCTAAACTCCTAAACCTTAAACCCCAAAACCTAAAACCCTAAACCTACAAAATCCAAACCTTAAACCCCAAAACCCCAACCTTAAACCCTAAACCCTACAAACCTACATCGGGGACTCCTCGGCTTCCATCCCGGCCTGTCAGTCTTGTCCAGGCCAGCCCGGGCTTCCAGCAAAGGTCGGACGCATTCGGCGCTGCTGACCGGTGCCTGGGCACGGTTTAGGGTTTAGGGTTCAAAACCCGTGGGTTTGGGGTTTAGGGTCTATGGGTTTAGGGAGTTTAGGGTTTAGGGTGTATTGAGTTTAGGGTTTAGGGTTTGGGGTTCAGAGTTTAGGACCTGTTATTTCAACATGGTTCCGTTAAGGAACCCCTAAACTCCCTAGACCCTAAACCCTAAACCCTTCAGCGTCAGGTCCAAGCAAATCCATAAAGCATATCTTGGCTGACTTCTGAACCCCTCTAAAAGTTAAGCTTTTGGCCCACTTATTATAACTCATCTAGAGACCACAAAAGTTAAAGTCCTAAGAGCCAAACAGAAGAACGCCAAGATATGTATGCCAGAACCCGGGTGCTGCGTGGATGAGAGCCGTCTGCCCCAGCTGGTTGCACACACTGTCCTTGGTCCCCAGCCCGGGTGCACAATGAACACCTACTCCTTCGTGTGAACATGATGCCTAATTGATTTAGGGGCCTTGATAACTAGAATGGGGTTTGGGCCAATTGTACTATAAGCACAAGAAGCAACCCACCCAAAAATAGTATTAGTAAATATTAGGCCTTTACATTAACCCTAATCTTCTATCACACAAGTGTGCACGTGTGCTACGTGCAGCAGCAACAACGACCACAGGCCCTAAACCCTAAACCCCTAAACCCCTAAACCCACCTAAACCCTAAACCCTAAACAAACACAACACAGATGCCAGTGCTGCACCAGAGGTCCGGATCCAGAGGCGCATGAAGGAGTGCCTCCACCTCTTCATGTCTCAGGTTGTGATTAGGGGTTTAGGGTTTAGGGTTTAGGATTTAGGGATTAGGGTTCAAGGTTTGCGGTATAAAAGGCAGGGCTTGAGGTCGCCAATTCTGATGGGTACATCCCTATGCTCGGTTTAGGGAGTATAGGGTTTATTGTAGCCTTCGGGTTTAGGACTCATAATCCAAACCGTAAATCCTAGTATATGGGCATAAATATCACTGCCTATATATATATATATATATATTTTTTTTATTATTTATTTATTTATTTTATTTTTTTTTTTGGGGGGGGCGGTCCTATTATAGTTATATAGTGTAATAGACACCAAAACCCTACTCTAACTACCAAGGCCCCTATAATAAACGGGTTTGGTGATAATACCTCCCAACTACACCTCGAACCTTGCGGGGTAGGTCTCAGTTCTCAGCTTGTACGGCTTTCCTGGCAAAGTCTGGGGAACATGAAACCCTACACCGTAACCCCTAGCCTATACCCTAAAACCTAAACCCTATATCCTAAACCCTAAACCCCTAAACCTTAATTATATCATGAAACTCCAAACCTAAACCTTGGATCCGTTGAACTAAGGGACCAGCTTTGTTCGACTCGGTCTCCGCTCCGCATGCTATAACATGCTGGCCTCGATAGTTAGCATAGTGCTTTGGGGTTTGCTATACGGGAGTTTCCGAAAATAGGGGACCCTAATGTAGTACCCTAAATAGTAGGATCCTTATTATAAGGACCTTCAAATAAGGTACCCCGTATTTTCGGAAACTCCCATACTCTAATTACAAGAAACCCTGAGGGTCCATGTGCCCAAGTAGTAGATACTTTGGCCTTAAAGTAGTCCCCATATAGGTACTTTGGGGCCAAAGTATCTACTATTTGGGTACATGGACCCTTAGCGTTATGAGAACTCTCCAGGGTTCTACGGGGTTTCGAAAAGCGGGCTTACCAG